CCTGTAATTCACTTGCAGGCCCTTGGGTGGCAGTCGTACAATTACTGATCTCCAAGTACCTCATCTGCCTTTCTGTTTGATCCTCTGCTTTGTGTATGACCTTCAAGTACAATTTATTAGGAACATTTAGGGTCCTTACAATGTGTCAAAAACATGCACCTGCCATGAGAGGAAGTACAGCCTTAGTCCTAAAGCAGCTACTTATGCATCCTGCTCTCAGTCAGCAGCAATTGTGGCCATAGTACTTTATTTACTTTTAGAGCATTTACTGGCAGAATGTTCAAGATCCAGGAAACATCTATAAAATTCTTCAAGAGGGGCTGGGAAGGTGTCTCAGTGGTAGAGTGCTTGCCTTGCATGCATGAGGCCCTGGGTTCAATTCCTCAGCACCACATAAGCAGAAAAAGACGGAAGTGGCGCTGTGGCTCAAGTGGTAGAGCACTAGCCTTAAGCTGAAGAGCTGAGGGACAGCGTCCAGCCCCAGAGTTCAGGTCCCACCACCAGAGGTGGGCAGTGAGGGGGGGGGATTCTTCAAGAGGCCCCTGATCTGTTAAGAAGGGGAAGCTGTGTATCTACCACATTCTAATTTATAAACTAGTATTACTAGGCTTTGTTTTGTGCATATTTGAGGATATGTGAAATACGTTTGCCTCTATACACTGGGTGCGTTCACTTTTGCTTATACTTAAAGAAGTAAAAAATTGATAAAAATAAGTCAGTGGATGCCACTTTCCATGCAGTGGAATTGGCAGCCTGACAATTTTCCAAGTAACAGAAAGATGTGGACTCACTGTTGTCATGGCTCTGGCAATATCAATAGCCAGAAGTAACCTACAATACCAATAGAAGGTAATAAATCCACTATTCAGAGAACCATATTCCCATATTCTAGGGAATATGTGCCAGCAATGAGGTTGTCTCCTCTTCTCAGAGTTTATTACTACTTAGAGATTTCTACCACCCTTTCTCTATCCAAGTTAGGAAATAAGATAGACAAAATGCAAATCACTTTGTCAGTTTCTTTCCAAACAAATCTTTTCAAAGCCATTACAGCTAGCAGTAGAAGGCGTTTGGGATTGTGATCTTTGAAGTTTCAATGTGAATAGTCTGGGCTTTAGAATGGCCAAACACATACTGTTCTGTTGTTAACTTTTTTAAACTTTTGATAGAGCATCCTCTTATCATGCCTTAAATTATTACCTCTGAGCATCTGTGACTTCCTTCCTTAAGGCAAAGAACTATCATTCATCCTTCTCTGCAGAGCCTGGACTGACCTAAAAACACAGAAGACACCTCACAAATTTCTCCTCGCTTTCTCTATCATTTTGCTCATCTGAACCACCCCCTCCCTCCCAGGACTTGAACTCAGAGCCTGGACCCTGTCCCTGAGCTTCTTTGGCTCAAGGCTAGCATTGTATCACTTGAGTTACAGCATCACCTCAGGCTTTTTCTGAGTAGTTTATATGAGATAACAGTCTCAGAGACTTCCTGCCCTGGTTGGCTTCAAACTGTGATCTTCAGATCTTAGTCTTCTGAGTAGCTAGGATTACAGGCATGAGCCACCATTGCCTGGCTTCATCTGAGTTTTTTAAGAATATAGATTAACTTACTTTTACTTCTTTAGAGATGGTCTTAACCAATATTCAATAAATGTTCAAATAAGTATTATGTCAAATCAGAGATTTTTCAATCTTTCTTATATATGTTTGAGAAGGGATTAATTCCTTCCCCCTCCTCATGTGTTGTATTGTAACAAACTAATGAAATTTAGAAAAAACCATACATTAGTGGCTCATGCCTATAATCTAAGCAACTCAGGAAGTTGAGATCCAGACAATTGAGATTTGAAGCCATGCTTGTCAGAAAAGTCCAAGAGACTTCATGAAAGAGTATTACTAATACTTCATCTGTAAAATAAGCCTGGCTGAAGGCATGGTTCAAATTTTAGAGCACAAGCCAATTAAACAAACCAGTAAGCTCCAAGCCCTAAATTCAAATACTGGGAGAGGGTAAATTCTTCACAAATAAAGTAAAAACTTTAAAGAGACCATATTCATGAATTTTATCCCCTTGTAAAATGTAGTAACACATTACAAATGCTACCTCCCTTCACCCTCTGCTGTCCATTTTTGTAACTGCACCATCTTTAACCTCGTTTCAGAATGATTTATCATTTCTGTTTAATCTGAGCTAACAAATGTGCTACACATAATAAAATTCATGTTTCAAAAAAAGTAAGATTCTATTCCCTCGAGAAATCTGTTTAAGCACTTAGGATCTAGAGCCAGATTGCCTCATTTTGCAAACTTGTTCATTCTACTTCGTAGTTTGGACAAGTTACTTAACGTCCTAACATCTCTGCCTCTCCAGTATAAGGCTAAACAAATTAATCACTACAAAACACTTAGAACAATGTATGGAAATCAGTTCATTGTTCTTATTTGGTATGGTGGTAGTCACGGTTCCTAACTTTCATAGCAATTAAAATTCTCATTTTCTTATTTTAGCGGACTAACTTCCTAGAAAAAACACATTGCATGCTTTAGACATCTTTACATTCCTAGCTCTGGACATGATATCTGGAACATTGTAATTACCCAACAAGCATTTATTGAATGTCTATAATAATGTCTCTGACCACATTTTCCTTTCCATACATGAGAAATGATGGTGATGACAGCTTTTATTCTATGAGATTGTGTTAAGAATTATTGCAAACAAGAAAAGCCTTTACAATAGCATCTGGATTATGGTAAATAATAAATGTTAAGTAACATTATTGGTAAAGATATCCCACAGTAATACTTATAAAGTATAAGTGAACTTCTAAGAGCAGCTGACATACCTGAATTTTTTTCTTCCTTTTATTCACCTAGTACTGGAGTTTTGACTGTACCAGGCCCACAACCCTTTATGCTATAGTTGTTTTTCAAGTAGGTTATCATGTTTGGGCCAGGGGGCATAAAACTAAATAGTCTCTAAGATTTTATCAGATAATATACAGACCAGATATTATCCTTTTGTGGATCCCATTGTTTCTTCTTCCTTCTTCTTCTTCCTCCCACCTTCCTCCACCCTCCTCTTTCTCCCTTCCCCCTTCCATTCCCTCCTCCTCCTTCTTGCTGGAAATCAAACACAGCGCTTTAGACATGCTAGATAAGAACTCTACCACCGAGCAAAAACCCCCACAAAGAGGTGTCTAAAGTGAAAAACTAAGGATTAGTTTCTAGTATCTAAATCAAATAGGTAAATCTAGTGATTAAAGAAGCCAGAAATTTTAATATGAATTTTGCTCCACAAATAGAAGTATTGCAGAATGTGCATCTGGGTTTTCACTAGCAAGTCTGATAGCCTGAAGCACCAGCAGAGGCTTACTCAAGTATAATCACCAATTCCTTTTTCATGAAATGATTTTCACAAAAACATAATGTAGTATGCCAAGATCTATTACTAATGTTTATTTATTCCACAGTCTAAGGGAAGGTCTTAAGGAAGAAAGGAACATTGGAGGGTGACAAATTATTTCATCTAAAAATGTAGTAAACATGTGTGAAACAGTGCCCTGTTAATAGTATTTACTGAGAAATGTTGCTACTTCTACCACTGGGCAAAAATTAGATGAAAGATTGGCCTGATGCCAACTTTCACTGTGTATGTCTGTTCTTACTGGTGGAAACAAAAATAAACCCTTACTATGGAAAGAACTGTTTGGTAGGTGTAGTGGCTGGCCTTTAGAAGCTGTAATTCTTTAAGAGTTAGTTTTCATTCCATTCAAAGCCAGCCCAGGTAGGAAAGTCTGAGAGACCCTTAGCCAGCAAGAAAATGCTGGAAGTAGAGCTGTGGCTCAAGTAGTAGATTGCTAGCTTTAAGTGAAAAAAAACTGAGGGAAAGAACCCATGGTACAGGTGTGGCAAGTCTAGGATCCTATTGAGTTTGAGCCCCAATAGCCACATTAAAAAAAAAAAACCTACATTATAATATCAGTAATGAGAGTGAGAAGTCTTAAACCCGTGCCAGTGGCTCACGACTGTAATCCTAGCTACTCAGGAGACTGAAATCTGAGGATCTCTGTTCCAAGCCAGCCCGACAGAAAAGTCCCTGTGAGACTCTTATTCCCAACTAATCACTCAAAAACTGGAAGTGGTGCTATGGCCCAAGAGTTAGAGCACTAGCCTTGAGCACAAAGAGGCTCAGGGACAGAGCCCAGTCCTTGAGTTCAAGCCCCACAACCGACTCCCCCCTTCCCCCAAAAAAGTGAGAAGTCTTGAGAAAAGGAAACTATGTACAGTCCAGGCTTGCCCTTGGCCTTTGCTAGAAAGTATCCAACCTCCCCTCTGCCCCCTCCAGCTTTTCATCCCATTGGATCTAACTGGAAGACAAACTGACTTTAAGTAGCTTTCTTCGGAGAAATATTTTCTCCCAACATTCACTGACTAAGCTGGAGCTTTCGACAGGGTTGATCTCAAAGTGCACCCTCTCCATATTCACACCGGTGATTAACACCCATGCACAAGGTTAACACGTTGTCTTTGCAGAACTCAAAAAGCACGGATTTGTGGGAACGAATGAAATCCCTTAATTGGTTCACGAGGCCGACGTCCTGGCATCTTTCCGCTGTATTCCGACCTGTGTTACGGGTGCCGTCACTGACCTCTGCCGGGAAAGGTCGGCGCTCACCACGAGGGCTGGGTCCTCCTCCGCGCCCCGCGGTGGCCTTTCACCTAGATCCGTGTCCAGTCCCCGCCTCCCCGTGTCCCCTGGGCGCTGGGCACCTGCCAGCCCTCCCCGCTTCCAAGCCCTGCACCCCAGTCCGCCCCCAGGACTCCCGGGGCCATGTTGGCAAGCACCGAGCACCACGGTGTCTGAGCGTTTCCGGATCCTGCGGCGGAGCGACCGCGGGCGGCAATTCCGAAGGCCAAGGTCGCTGGGTCGGCGCAAGCCAGGCCCTCCCCGCCCGAGGCCGCGCCGGGGACACACCCACTGCGGGGCGGGGTCGCGTGGCCACGCCCACCGGCGGAGTCCTGCGGGCGGTGGGCGCCCTCTGACAGTCTGTGACCTGGACTCTGCGTGGCGAGATCCGGAATCAACATGGCAGCGGCGTTTAGGAGAAGCTGCCGGGTGAGAGGGAGACCAGGGCCAACGGTGGGGCTGGGCTGGATGTAGGGGTGGAGGCCAGGAACCGTCTAGAAGTGCAGCCCCGACGGGTAAGAGCGGTGATGGGGCAGGGGCCTGCTCGGGGCGCCGTGTCCCCACTCCCTACCCCCCTTACCAGGCTCCGGGACCCCGTCGGGCTTTGCATGCTCGCTGCGCCCGCGGCCTGGCGCTGTTCCCCTCGCCGGACAAAATGCATCCCCGGCTGCACCGGTCCGAATCCCCGCGGCCCCCGCCCCGCTGGCGGCGCCCTCCCGGCCGGACTTCCTTCTCCGATCCGGCCAGGTATTCTACGAGGAATTCCACCCCTCGCCCGAGCGAGCCGGGTCTCAGAGTTAGGATCCCCAGCTTGCAGAACTAGCACGCTACCTCTCGACTAGCATTTCCCTCGCGATCTCCAGGCCAGGCAGGAACAGTAAGATAACTTGTCGATTAGGTCGGCTAAAAAGGTGTTGGAATATATATATATATATAGTATGTGACTTACACATGCTGATATATTCACACAAGCTTAACATTTAAAATGGAACTTTGAAAAAAATAAATAAAATGGAACTTTGGTTGTCTTGAACCAAAAGTATCCCTAAAGTTTTAATTTATAGTAATTATATTGTATTATTACCCAACTTTTGCTGTTGCTTTACAAGTTAGTGAGCTCTGAGGGCAGAAATTGGGTGTTTTTAAAAATTATTAACTCTGACATCAGAAAAAAAATATTTCTTGACCTCTCCAAGGAATGATCTAGAAAAACCTAATTGGAGATATATTCTATTCCTCCCCCCTTGACAGTCTTATAAAACTGAGTATTCAGTTTCTAAGAAGGAATTGTAGGAAAGTTTATATAATTTGTGAAAGGATTTAATTGTAATGGCATTATTGTTGCTGAATTAATAATTCATTAAAGTTGCTATCTTTTTTTCATATTTGGAATTCCATTGTTTTCTGGGCAGAGTGCCTGAAGCAATGAAACATATATATATATATATATATATATAATTTTTTTACCACATCAAAACACCTTATTTGTATCACATCATCTAGTGTGAGATTAAGTCCAGTGTTTTCCTCATATAAACTGTAAAATTTACAACCTGTCCACTGTAAAAAAGATGACAGGAAACTAGACATAGATTCAGCAATTCTGTGTTATTTTCCTCCAAGTCAACTCTTTGAATGACTAACATAGTTAAATAGTGAGTAAGGCAAATGGACACTTTTCCCTGAGGGTCATGTCTAACACACTTTGTTTGATGTACCAAGTTTTCTGAAAATATGTGTAAACTGACTGTAAATTAAATCCATTAGGAAATTGCCTATTTAAATTATCTCAGCAGACCATTTTGCTTATTTTGTGAGGAAAGTTTTATATTCAACAATTTATGTTCTTAACACATTTACAGTAGAGTCAGGGTGTTTTATTTGATTTTTGTGAATTGTTCTTGTTCCTTATAGAACCTAATGATCAGCTAGGAGAATAAGAGCAATATAGCCAGTGGTTGTGGCTTGAAGTCTTAACAGAAATGTGACGGGTAGAATCCTGATTCCTCTATCTAAGAATAGGAGTGACCTTGTCTACTTTTAGCCAAGTTTCTTCCTATACAAACTAAGAATAAAAATCTCAAACATGACTTAGGAATCACTGAATTAATACTTGTAATTGACTGTAATGAAGAATAAATGTAAATCTATAAAGACTAGATGTAAAATCTATAAAGACAGGACAATGCAAACTAGAGACTTCCAAAAAAAACAGCTAATTCAAGTTGTAAAGAAAATGACTTTTCATACAGTGTAATTATTTTTCAGGGTTGTAGTGTAAGGAATGTTATTTTGAAAGGGTTAGTGAGGTTACATTTTTGATCATCTAAATGATTTTGTCACTTCAAATGTAATTATCAGGTGAAATGCCATGTACAAAATGAGCAATCTATAAAAGATTGGCTGTTGCAACTTATTTATATTGTTCAACTTCTTTTTTTTTCTCTACCTACCTTGTGAAAAATTGCCTAAGGAAGTAACCTTTCAAAACCCTTTATAAAGTATAACTTGGGTAATTTTGGCTGCCCTTGGTTGATTACTCAGAAGTACTGGGAGTGTTTTTCAGCTTGCTGACTTTAATAAGTGCTATTGGCTACTTCTGTGACCATTAAATTGTCAGGAATATAAAAATGGGTTGCAAAGGAATAGTATGTGTGTATCTTACTGTTTTTATTTCTTTTTTCTTTCTTTCTTTCTTTCTTTTCTTTTTTTTTTTTTTGTTGCTCTTGGGCTTGAACTCTGGGCTTGGGTGCTGTCCCTGTAGGCTCTTCAGTTCAAGGCAAGCGCTCTACTGCTTGAGCCACAGCACCACTTCTGGTTTTCTAGAGGTTTATTGGAAATAAAAGTCTCATGGAATTTCCTGCCTGGGCTGGCTTTGAACCGTGATCCTCAGATCTCAGCCACCTGAGTAGCTAGGGTTACAGGTGTGAGCCACTGGTGCCCAGCTTCTTACCATGTTTTTATATGTTCTTTTGAAGAAATATGAGTGAATTTCATCTGCTAAAATTTAGTATATCACTAAAACGTTGACTTTTCTTTTAAGGGATAGATAATAAATAGATTATGTTTTTGTGACCCTGAGGTCTCTGTGGCAGCCAAGTAACTTTGACTTCAAATCAGCAGTAGACAATGTGGAATAGCTAGCTGTGTTCCAATAGAATTTGATTAACAAAACTGATGATAACTGTAGTTTGCTGACCCCTGCTTTAGAACCTTCTATGAATGCCTACAGATCACAACAAAGTTCATAAAACATGAGTTTATTTTGTTAGATAAGAGTGAAGTATTTGGAAAATGGGGTCTTCCAAAGAGAAGATTCCCAGTGGCTCATCTGGGGCAATATCAGAGGCTGGGTATCAAAATGGTAGAACAGAAAATTCTTGAAAACACTACCATTCCAAGTGGAGCTGTGGTTCAAATGATAGACAGCTAGCCTTGAACAGAACACAAGGACAGCACCCAGGCCCTGAGTTCAAGACCCAGGACTAGCATGCACACACACAAACACACACACACACACACACACACACACACAAATGTCTTTGGATAGGTGTTCTTGAAGTTGGCAATTGGCATATATAAATTCTAATTTAAAACATGTAAGGAAAAATTACTTTAACATAGACCTCTCAAGTATAGGCAAACAAGTTATTGCACTCAATGATGGTCAGCATTCTCTTATTTAGTTGATACTTAATTTATCCCATTTGTTTTTAATAATGTTGTCTTTTACAGGTCCTGAGAAGTATTGCTCATTTTGAGTGGAGATCACAACATACACAAGTTTCTCAAAAACATGAACCAGGAACAGGATTTAGCTTTGGTATATATTATATTCTGTCTTTTGACTTTGAAGTGTATTTGTCTGGAATATGTTTGTTAACTTGATTATGTTTGTCATCAGGAAGAGACACCCGTTTTTCCTCAGCTCATTTTGTTTCTTTCAGCTATATTCAGGGCCTCTTCTCTCTTACCCCAGTTGCTTGCTCGATCAGTTAATGCTCTACCACTTGAACCATGCCTCTAGCTGGCTTTGTTGATGGTTATTTTGGAGATGGAGTCTAATGGACTTTTCTGCCTGGGCTAGCCTCAAACTCAACATTCTCTAGACCTCAGCTTTCTAAGTAGCTAAGATTACCTGGCTGAGCTTGTTTTCTTCAGCATACTACTCTATACCTTTGGTCTGTGTTAGAATATGTCTATGTATACATGTAAAGTAATTCCCAAAGTAATAATATATATGAGTAGTCTTCCAACTTACAAATTTGAAGGCAACAAATACTTTTTAGAGGGCCAATACAGTGGTTCAAGTGGGAAAGTTGCTGCCTAGCAAGCATGAAAACCCCAAGTTCAAACCTTAGTACTGGAAAAAAAATTAGACAAACTTCAAGCATTGCTGATCAAAAACAACATTAAGAATCAAAGAGTTGATAGCTGGGTACTGGTGGCTCATGCCTGTAATCTAGCTGTTCAGGAGACTAAGATCTGAGGATTGCAGTTCAAAGTCAGCCCAGGCAGGAAAGTTCATGAGACTCTTTTTTTGGGGGGGGAGGGAGGTCTGGTTGTGGGGCCTGAACTCTGGGCCTGGGCACTGTCCCTCAGCTCTTCAGCTCAAGGCTAGCTTTCTACCACTTGAGCCACAGTGCCACTTCCGGCTTTTTTCTTTTTGTTTATGTGGTGCTAAGGAATTGAACCCAGGGCCTCATGCATGCAAGGCAAGTGCTCTACCACTGAGCCACCTTCCCAGCCCTCATGAGACTCTTATCTTCAGTTAATCACCAGGAAACTGGAAGTGGAATTGTGGCTCTAAGTGGTAGAGTGCTAGCCTTGAGCAAAAAATCCCAAGCTTCGAGTTCAAGCCCCAGGACCAGCCAACACACACACACACACACACACACATATGGAAGAATCAAAGAGTTGCCAGTCTGTACACACACACACACACATAAATATGGAAGAATCAAAGAGTTGCCAGTCTGTAATCCTACCCACTCAGGAAGTTGAGATCTGGAGGATTGCACAGCCAGCCTAAGCAGAAAAATCTACAAAACTCTGTCTCCAAAATAACCAGCAAAAAGCAGGACTGGAGGCATGGCTCAAGTTGTAGAACACCAGGTGAGTAAATAAACCTAGTGTGTCACAGGCTTGAGTTCAAACCCCAGTACCACAAAAAAAAAAAAAGAGAGAAAGAGGGGAGAAGGTATAACTACCCCTCTCCCCCCACAAAACACTTTTTAATCTACTTAGTGCTAGATGTTGGATAAAAATAGTAAATCCTATTTTGGCCACAATTGATCTGAATGCAGTTTTGATACTATTATATAAAGTTCTAATACCTGGGACTAGAGTAATGTGGTGTTATCAAAGTTTCAAAGAAATAAGATTTTTCTTTCCTTTTATAAAATGAAAACTCTAGATAAAAAGAAAAAACACAAGAAATAACAATTCATATTTTTAGCATCTTTTGCTATCTAAAAGGGCTTTTTGCTTCAAAATGTTTTCAGAAAATAGTTACAATAGGACCAGGTAACTTAAGAGAATAAGTAGGGATGGGATAGATGGCAGGAATGATGGTAGGGATGACATTGATCAAGATGCATTGTACCAATAGATTAACATGCTGTACATGTTAATTACATGTTAATAACATAACATGTGCATGTTATATGTGTTTGTAAAACTAATTAAAATAATAACAAAAGAAAAATGCAGTTACAAGGCAGCTGAGATAATTAATATATACGCAGGAGCAACTGGCAGCATCAGAGACCTAGGGTTATTGTTGCTGATTCTGTTCCAAATTTTTTTCTTTCTCTGAATTAGGTGAAAGGTTTTCATGGAGGCTGAGGACAGCAATTTGCTTTTGAGAGTCTGTGGGATGTTAGTTAGCATTGCTATATAGTTTCAGCTTACTGCATACAAATTCATAGCAGTAAGAAACTAACAGGAGGGCTGGAAAGGTGGCTCAGTGGTAGAGTGCTTGCCTTGCATGCATGAAGTCCTCCGTTGGATTCCTCAGCACCACATAAGCAGAAAAAGCCGGAAATGGGGCTGAGGCTCAAGTGGTAGAGCGCTGGTCTATAGCTGAAGAACTGAGGGACAGTGCCCAGGCCCAGAGTTCAGGCCCCACAAATGGGGGGGAAAAAAAGAAAGAAACTAACAGGAAGTCTGTGACCATTTCAAGGGTGACAAGATTAAATCAATATAAATATTGGGGAGGGAATTTGTGAAGTGTGAGGAAATACAAAGAACACCTCTGACCAGTTGATCTGTAGATCATATCTAAAGTAGGATTTATTTGACAGGTAGATTACATGCTTATACATAAAGTTGCTAGCAAATAGTGGTCTGATGAAAGTGGTTTCTCAACAATTAATACATGACAGAACTCTGGCTTTCCTCCTCTTAACCAATCCACAACTGGGGCCAATACACTAGACCCAATTTTGCAAGTAAAGCTGTGCCATGGAAAACACTGCACATCTTCTTTATTTATTTTTTTTTTCAGTTGTGGGACTTGAACTCTGGGCCTGGGTGCTGCCCCTTAGCTCTTCAGCTCAAGGCTAGCGCTCTACCACTTGAGCCTCAGTGCCACTTCCGGTTTTCTGGTGGTTAATTGGAGATGATCTCATGGACTTTGTTGCCCAAGCAAGCTTTGAACCTTGATCCTCAGAGCACAGGCTCCTGAGTAGCTAGGATTACAGGCGTGAGCCACCAGCTACTTTACTTTTTTGCCAGAACTCAGAGCGTTGGCACTGTCCCTGAGCTTCTTTTGCTCAAGGCTAGCACTCTATCACTTGGGCCACAGCACCACTTCCGGCTTTTTCTATTTATGTGGTACTGGCAAGCACTCTACCGCTAAGACACATTCCAAGCCCACACATCTACTTTAGAGGTGGAGATTAGGATTAGTTTAAAGCCAGTGCAGGCAAAAAGCGAGACCATCATCTCAAAGAATTATGGGCATAGTTGAATCCTAGTCACAGTGCTAGCCTTAAATTGTAGAATTAAGTTCTAAGGCTAGTCCCAGGCAAAAAAAACTAAGGCTGTACCTGAAAAATAAAAGCAAAAAAGGTCTAGTGGCATAACAGTAGTATAATGGCCTGTGGCTCTTGACTTCAAACTCTAGTAGCCGAAACAACAACAGAACCCACATATACTTCTATATCTAGTTCGTGGGAACACTATGGGGCTATCATTTTCTCTCTCTGTGCTTTAGATTCCTTATGTATTAAATGAGAGATGTGACTTAATGCTCCTCAATTCAGCACCAAAATCTCACTGATTTATGTTTCATCTCTCATTCTTACTCTTTTTTCTGTGCTTTGGCTATTGTTATCTTTTTGCTGAGAATAGAGTATTCATAGATATACTTCCCTCCCCGCCCCATCCCTGTTCCTGGGGCTTGAACTCAGGGCCTGGGCACTGTCCCTGAGCCCCGTTTTATTCAAGGCTAGCACTCTACCACTTGAGCTCTACCACTTTTAGCTTTTTCTGAGTAGTTAATTGAAGTGTCTCACGGACTTTTCTGCCCAGGCTGATATCGAACCATACTCCTCAGATCTCAGCCTACTGAGTAGCTAGGATTACAGGCACCAGCCACTGGCACCTGGCTAGATATACTTTTCTTTTTAAATCTTAACTATTTTTTAGAGCTTAGGATGTAGTCCAAGTGGTCAAGTGTTTATGTACCAATCATGAGTCCCTGAGTTCAAAACTCTAGTAACATTAAAAAAAATCCTATTTATTTTTGACATTAGATGCAACCACATTAAAATAGTAGCTAGCATGGATTTTTTTTAAAAAATGCAGTTAGCAATACACTCTTATCCTATCCAATCTAGCTGTTATTTTCATTTCATTTATTTTAAAGTAATTCCTTATTCAAAATTAATTGTTCAGAGATCACTTATTAACAATACAGCAGGATCTAACATCATTACTGTCTCCTGAAAAACATTTCCATACTTTCACAAAGTTTTTCCACGCTGACTTAAGAAAGTTTTGCCTAAGTTTAAAGAAGAAAGATTGGATGGAGGGTGCCAGTGGCTCATGCCTATAATCCTAGCTACTTGGGAGGCTGAGATCTGAGGTTGAAGGTTTGAAGAAAGTCTGTGAGATTCTTATCTCTAATCAAGCACCAAAAAAGCCACTCAAGGCTCCTGTGGTAGAGTGATAGCTTTGAGCAAAGCTCAGGGACAGCTCCCAGACCCTGAGTTTAATCCCCAAGATGGGCACAAAAAAAAAATGAAATTATGACATCAGGGATTGGGAAGGTGGCTCAGTAGTAGAGTGCTTGCCTTGCATGCATGAGGGCATGGGTTTAATTCTTCAGCACCACCCAAGCAGAAAAAGCTGAAAGTGGCACTGTGGCTCAAGTGGTAGCACGCTAGCATTGAGCTGAAGAGGGACGCGCGAGTTCAGGCCCCACAACTGGCAAAAAAAAGAAAAAGAAATTATGGCATCAATTTTCTTGTACAGTTCCTAGAAATAAATTGTGATCATGTAGTATAGCTTATTCTCTTTCTGATTCTTGTATATTATTTCTTGTATATTATATCTTGTATATTATTTCACTCTAGTCTTAGTTAATAAAGATAAATCTGCTTAAGAATTACACTTCGGTGGTACTGAGATATGAACTCAAAGCCTCACCCTGCTAGACTACCAGGCCTCCAGGCTAAGATAAATATTTTTTTATATTATCAATTAGAGAAGAGAAGCACTTTTTTGAGCACTACAACTTTATAAATCTTACCTGTTTTCTTCAGCATCTTTACTGACATATTGTATACAGTGAAATTTTGATTAGTCAGAGAATGCAATGTTTTCTTTAGAGTTTCTGATTAATTAAAGGTTAAATTTCCCCATGATAGAGGTAAATTTTCACATATCATTTTCATAGGATCTTTTTCCCTCAACTTATATCTTTAAAAAAATGTTTTCCCCACAGAACTCAGTGAGCAGCAGAAAGAATTTCAAGCTACTGCTCGAAAATTTGCCAGAGAGGAAATAGTCCCAGTGGCTGGAGAATATGATAAAAGTGGTGAAGTAGGTATACACATTTAAGGAGAGAAAGACTTCTTTTTTTATAAGATCATGTAATTATACACAAATATTATAACTGTTTTTTGTTGTTGTTCTTTTAGTATCCTTTCCCCATAATCAAAAGAGCCTGGGAACTTGGTTTAATCAATACACACATTCCACAGAGTTGCGGTAAGCTATACTTGTTTTGAATTCTTGAATGGTTTCAAACAAGAAAAACTGTGGAACTTCTTTAAAGTATTTATTGACTTTAAATGGCTCTGCCTTTAATCTCCTTTATCTGCACTTAGTTTTAGAAGCTTTGTATTTAATATGTAGGGTCATTTTCCCCTCTTTTTTAACTCGTTTCAACAAATACTTAAGTAGTTCCCCTTTACTTATTTCCTTGAAAAGTATTATGTGTTGTAATGGGTTCTTAAAACATTTTGATACCATAGGAGGTCTTGGACTTGGAACTTTTGATACTTGTTTAATTACTGAAGAATTGGCTTATGGATGTACGGGAGTTCAAACTGCTATTGAAGCAAATTCTTTAGGGGTAAGTCATTTAGAAAATTAATTGCCTAACTTAGCTATTAATGAGTCAGAAGCAGCAAAGTTAGGATAATTCATAAATTTTAGGGGTTGTCTTTATTTATTTTGTTGTGTTGTCATCATCGTCATTAATTTAATAGTAAAGTCTGGAGTTAGGATTCCAACACTTGGTCACCCTGGATCTGTTTTCTCCAGTATGTGGAGCTGTCCTTGTGGGGAAACTGTACATTTTGGCTGTAACTTCAGTAGGAATTCTAACTAAAGGCAAGGTGGGAAACTGTACATTTTGGCTGTAACTTCAGTAGGAATTCTAACTAAAGGCAAGGTCTATAGCCATCATCCAGGAAACTCTTAGGTTGTCTTGTGGCCTCCACTTCCAATGCAGAAATGTAGTGAGAAATTCATAGGAGGCCTGATCCTATTTGCCATGTTGTATATCCTAAGTGTAAATTTTGTGGTCTTTTACAGTAATCAGTTTTTATATATTACCAAATGAGTCATTTTATGAAAAGACTTAGATTAGATGATGGTTTTAGCTTTTTAACTTAAGGACAGAGTAAATACTCTTAATTTATTCTCTGGGGGGTAAGGAAGCAGTTCTGTTTTGAACTGTAGTGTCCTTCACTTTGTATATCTGATAAAACCTACCTTGCTTTGTAAATATCAATTTTCTTTGTCAGCAAATGCCTGTTATTATTGCTGGAAATGATCAACAACAAAAGAAGTATTTAGGGAGACTGACAGAGGAGCCATTGATGTGTGTAAGTACAGAGAGCTGTTGCTTTAGTTCATAGTTCATGACTGTGTTGAATTGAAATCCCTTTGTACAGCTACTTAAAGATAATTTTAAGAAGTTAATTAATTAAAGAAAGGGAAAAAAGAAGGGCAAGGGAGGTGCCCTTTTCAATCCATATGTATATTTTTGACTTTATGACTTTAAGACAAAAACTAGCAATATATTAAGTTCAGTGTTGTTTCTGGATGTCAGGAGTCATAATTATCAACTTGCTTGTTTCTACCATACAGATATTTACTTGGTGATATTTCTAGAATTCCAACACATCACTATAACCTCCCTACTTTTATCAAAGTAGTATCTGTTTAATGGACTATATCTATTTAATTCTGTGGTTCGAGAACTGAGTGTTCTTCTGATTGAATGTAGTAGAGTACTAAGTCTAAGTGTTTAAATCTAGTAGTCTTCTCAATTAGTAACAAATCAATGGGAACATATGACTAGAGAGATTATAGTTCGTTTGTTTGGATGACCAAATAATTTAGGGAAACTAAGTGATAGTTTTATTGGAGAGATATTCAACAATATTTTAAATTGTATATTTTTAAAAGATATGTACGTGTTAAGTATATATACAAAAATAAATACTGAGGTTTTATTTTGAAACTAGCTTTTTTCCTTTTGGTAGCAATGTGGTTTATTTTCAGGGCCTACTATTTGCTAGGCAGGCACTTACCACTTGAGTCATGCCCTCAGCCCTAAATCTGTCCTTTCTTTTTATTAGGATATATTAGTTGTACAATGTATCATATCCATACGTATACACAAATTCCCTCTCCTTCATCTCCCATCCCTACTTCATAAAATAAACTCTCAGTGACACCGAAGCCCTAGGTAGAAAGACTGTAATGTAAGTTTATGCCCAAGATAAAACAGACTCTATTCAAAAATGAAACAAAAAAAAAAAATCAGTCAAGGGCTGAGAAGGTGGTTCAGTGGTAGAGTGCTTGCCTTGCATGCATGAGACCCCAGGTTCAATTCCTCAGCACCACAAGCAGAAAAGGCTGGAAGTGGAGCTGTGGCTCAAGTGGTAGAGCACTAGCCTTGAGCTGAAGAGCTAAGGGACAGCGCCCAGGCTCAGAGTTCAAGCCCCACAACCAGAAAAAAAAAATCAGTCAGGGATATAGTTCAAGTGTAGTAGAGTGCCTGGCCTAGCAAGTTCAAGGTGTTTCATGCCTTGGAGTCAAGTGTTTCTGAAATACTTCCAGAAATTTTTCTGGCCATTATAAACTTCTACATTACATGATTCAATTTTAATGAATTCTTTTTGTAATTTTATCACCTTATTCTATAATAGGTGTTCAATATATGTTTGAATTATTTAGTTATATTTTAATTATTTTTTATGATATTTAAGAAGTTGAATTAAGGAGTTACTATTGAAAAAGGAGTTTATAGGGCTGGGAAGGTAGCTCAGCGGTAGAGTGTTTGCCTTGCAAGCATGAGGCCCTGGGTTCAATTCCTTAGTACCACATACACAGCAAAAGCCGGCAGTGGCACTGTGGCTCCAGTGGTAGAGCGCTAGCCTTGAGCTGAAGAGCTGAGGGACAGTGCCCAGGACCAGAGTTCGGGCCTCATGACCGGCAAAAAAAAAAAAGAAAAGAAAAAGGCGTTTATAAATACAATGTATGTTGATTAGTGTTACCCCTTTCAATGTTCTCTGTAGTCTTTTTTTCCTATTCATTCAAATAATTTCCCCATTGACATTAGCCCCTCAGATACCAGAATGTAGTTTTTACTGGAAAAGCATTTAGTCGGAATAGATTGTTTTAGTTACTGTTATTATGCCTCAAATCAGTGCTTCCAACTTCTGTAATAATCAGCGGTCTCAAATATGTCACTTTTTGCAGTTACAAAATATTCAGTGGCTCTCTGTCATCAATAACAATGGTTCATAATATTTGTTTGTTTTTTAATTTGTGAGTGCATTTTCAGGTCTGACTTTCTCAGAAAATGTATGTACTATCCACTTCTGCACATAAGAATGTTTAGATTCCTCTAAAATCCATCTCAAGTCCTTAAGGTTCCCCTGCACAGTAGTAGGCAGCCAGTTAAAGTTGCTGAATGCATGAGTATGCTCTCCTCAACATGGCAGACTCCTTAGCCCCTCGCCCTTCTTCTCTGTCCACATCTTCAGCTTATTTTCATGCTTCCATTTTCTCTTCACATCTCAATAATGAACAACTTACTGTCTCTCTTGACGCTACTATTTCATTCCTTGTCATTTAATACTTGTCTCTTTCAATGAGTTTTACTTCTTTTCTTTCCAGTGCCACTAACCACTTACCATCTCCCAGCCCTCCTCCAGGGTAAACAAATCCTTTCCAATGTCTATATTACCTTTACTTTGAAATAAGTAAGTAGCAAGTAGTTTTCTTCTTTGGACTTATAATGAACCTGTATCTTTAGGTGGTCTATATACCACTATACCTTCTACCCAGTAAACTGAATTAACTTAAATTCCCTAAGGCTTGCCTCTACCTACCCCGCCCCTGGCCCTTAATCCATTACTGCTGTCATCTTGTTGCTCTTTGTTTAGGAACTGTTAAGAGGCTCTTCTGTTTCTACTGGGTAAACTCTTAAATTCTTAGTATGAGATACTGTTTCCTTCTTTCTTTCCAAGCTCATTCCCTACCATTCCCACTAGTCACATAAAAAATTCTGGGCACATTCAGCATTAGCTCCAGTGGGTGACCCTGTTTTTTATCTTAGTATAATTGCATATGCTATTACTTCTGCTTGCAGCACACATTCCTTGTCCCTGTTCCTCTTCCGAAAAAATCTCTTTACCATTTGAGCCTTATTACAAGTATATCCAGTCATGGTGCATTGCTTTCATATATAGACATATAGTATAGATATTTATCTCCACTGTCACATTGAGAAACTCTAGGACAAGATATTTTTCTACCTCTGATTTCCTTTATTAGTCTTGAACTCTGGGCCTGGGCACTGTCCCTCAGCTCTTCAGCTCAAGGCTAGCGCTCTACCACTTGAGCCATAGCACCACTTCTGGTTTTCTGATGGTTAATTAGAGATTAGAGTCTCATGGACTTTCCTGCCCAGGCTGGCTTTGAACTGCAATCCTCATATCTCAGCCTCCTGAGTAGCTAGAATTACAGGTGTGAGCCATTGGTGCCCAGCTTTTACCTCTGATTTCTTTATCTCTTAATTTATAGCATGGTATATGGGTTGAACTTAAAAGTTATTAAATTTATGAATTTGTTTGAGGATATATAATTTTTGACATGGTTTATTAATATCATATGCCCAATTTCAATCTATTTGACTTTATAATTGAATTATTTATTTGATTTTTCTAAGAACACTTTAGATATTTTTAAAATAGTTTAAAAACTGGCTTCGAAAATAAGATAGTACTGGCCACTGGTGGCTCACACCTATAATCCTAGCTGTCCAGGAAGCTGAGATTGAAGGATTGTAACTTGAAGCCAGCCCAAGAAGGAAAATCCATGAGACTTTTATTTTCAGTTTACCATGCAAAAGCCAGAAGTGGAGCTCTGGCACCAGTGGTAGAGCACTATCCTTGAGCACAAAAGCCAAGGGACAGCACCCAGGCCCTGAGTTTAAGCCTCGAAACCCACACAAAATAAAAATAAATAGTAAGTAAATAGGGGCTAGAGGTGTGCTCAGTAATAGAGTTCTTACCTAATATGTTTGAGGCCTTAGATTTAATCTCTACCACCCCAAAACAAAACCAATTCTGTTTCCACATGTTCAGGTTTTAATTGTTAACATTTCATTTCTTGTCTCCATATGCTCAAGGCCTACTGTGTAACAGAACCTGGAGCGGGCTCTGATGTAGCTGGCATAAAGACCAAAGCAGAAAAGAAAGGAGATGACTATATCATCAATGGTCAGAAGATGTGGATAACCAATGGAGGAAAAGCTAGTTGGTATGGTTTTTGAAACATCTCAGTGTATTAATCTTCTTAGTTACTTTATTTTGGGATCTTTTCTCTCTTTTTTAAACCATCTCCATTAAAGTTAGCTATGTTGAAGAAACTGGAAGATCTATAAAAGATCATATATAGTTGAGTGATTTTTCAAGTATTTCTGAGCCCCTGAGCGCATGCGCTTTCTCTCTCTCTCTCTCTCTCTCTCTCTCTCTCTC